CTCATACATAGGCATAATGTATATTGCTGGTGCAATTTATAGTTCCTCAGTTATGGTTTATGTTTTGGGGTAGTACTCTCATTAGATGTGTGTATCTTAGTTACTCTGTGTTTGCTGTCTCTTGTGGCCCTCATTTATTTAAGGAAACTACAGTATTTAGGACTCGTGGATTTCCCATATGATGGTGGTTTTGTTGTTGTCTCATCCTTTTATTCCTGTAACAGGTCTGCATGTGACCAGCAATTTAATGCTTTGTAGGATAATGACAATCTCACTGTCATTAGACTGAAGGTCCTGGAGAAAATACAAGCAGAAAAAAATTTCTGCACATGTTTTGTGCTTTCTTTTTCTGGCACTGGAAAGAGGTTGGTGCAGAGGCATGAGATGGCAACTCTCCCCAGCTGTTTGAGTGAGACTTAGGATACAAATATCTGTTACAGTCACTTGGGAGGTTTGGGCAGATGAGTCAAATCCTCTGCTATTGGAGTGGTGCAAAGATGTGAGGGGGAGATACTTGGGGGGCTCAAGTTTGCTGCAGAAGTGAGCTTGGGCAAGGGGAGAGCTGTGGTGTGGGACAGTTGGCTGAACTGAGCTGGCTTGTTGGAGTCTGAAAATAGCTCAGCTACCAAATAACAAAAACCTAGCCTAAAAGAGGTAAAGAGCTTTCGTGTTGGATGAGAAGCAGATGTGTGTACTTGAGATGCAGATAGAAGAATTGGAATGGAAAGCCCATTAAGAACTCCTTGAATTTAAAAAGAGTGAAATGCTCAATAGGAAAACAGCTAACAGCAGTGAGGAAAAAAATCTGAATCTAATACTCTATGTAGATTTTAAGTTTTTAGGGAGCATGTGCAGCCAGAAAAACTTTTGCTTCTAAAATTGTCAAATGCAGTTCCATATCCCTCTATATATTGAAATATGTAACTCTTTTTGTTAAAAACAAACCAACCCCTCTGTAGGAATAGGGAGGCCAGCAGTAAAATGCGCTTTTTGCATTATGGTAAGTGATATAAAATCTGTATGGAATTTTGTATGGGCAGAATTAAGTTTACTGTTGAACAGTATTCAGGAAATTATGTCTTTCCTGCTTTGGCAACTGTTAGAAGTATTGTTTCTTGAAAAGTTATTATAAATGAAACCTGACATTGTGCAGACTTCTTCTAAAATTGGTAGTTTGTAAGTCACATAAATAACAATATCCCTGTGCTGCAGCAGTGAAATTGATTTTAATAAAATATAAAGATAATTATAAGTTCAGAAAACTGCTTCAATTTTAGTGGATTCTCTGTTAAAAATCAGCTTTTATTTTAATATGTAAGCTTTTGTTGTGTAGGCCATTCTAGAGCTAAAATGTTGAATACAAAACAAGGGCTGAGTTTTCTCTATCCAAGTTTTTGGGTCAACCTTGGTCTGAAAATATTTGTGAGGAAACTTCCTTCCTTGTCCGTGGACACCTGCTGTTCTCTGAGTCACTCATCGACCATGTATCACAATGTTCTTTAGAATAGAGATTCCTGTTCAAGTGATGGCAGCATCTTCAGAAAATGTTGCAGAGGTGAGATCGGTTAAATAATGTAACAAACGTGCTACAGAGGAAAGAAAAGCAATAGGATAGTAGCTTCTGTGGCTGTTGAAAGATGAAAACTTCCACTGCATAACTACATTGCCATGTATGGGCTAGGTTTTGTGTTGTCTGATGTTTTTTTCCTTTGAGCTTCTTTTATTTCTTACCATACTTAAATGTGCATTTTTTAAAAACTTGTGTAATAACTAATTTTTAACAATAAGAGAATACATATAGAAGAATATTGAAGTCCAAGAAGCAATAAAAATGTTCAAGGCAGAATATATTTTTTCCTATTTTTTAATATCTTTTCTCATTACCTGCTGTTTTGGTTCTTTTTATAGGGTTGTCAGATTTTCAGACGACATAGTTTCTTTTTTTATAGTAAGAGATTTCCAGGAAAAAAAAATAAAGTTATTAGTCTCAAATTGCATATATAACTGTAGCATGAGCTTAAGTTCTTAGAGACACTTCATCACTGTGACCCTGAATGAGCATAATGCTTAAACATGCATAATTTTAAGGCATGGATATTAAACTCATTGAAATCCATCATCCACGGCTATTAGAAGTGCTTTGTGTCTTTCACAGAGACACTTGAAAGAAATCCTGGCATTTCACATAGTTTCAAGTAGAGCAGTAAGGATGAATTTTGTGTTTAAAATGTATGAATACTGTTAGCTGGAAAATGTTGCAAAAGTGGTATGGTTACTGTTACAAATCTGTGACTTTATTGTGCTGACTTTTACAGCTTGCCCTTTAACATGCTCAGGCAAAGGCCAGGAAACCCCTAAAGAAATTCAGGAGACTTAGGCTCTGTCCTGAGATCCTGAGACACTGACTTTTTCATTTATGGGTTACTACAGGATGCTTTGCCTAGAGATGCTGTGATGCTACCCAGCCTTCACCATAAACTGTGTATTCCTTCATTTGGTTTTTATACTGAAATTATGGAAATGAGGCTTTGTAAGTTATATAATGATCTTGATTACATTCTGCAGAGGATATTGAACATTATTATAATCAAACTTACTGACTGGAGATCAGGAAAGGTCTGAATGTAAGAGGAAGCCAGGCTCTTATGCAGAAGGTTATACAGCTTCAGGAATATTTGTAAAATTGTGAAACTGTAATTTATTGAAGCAATTTCTTTACTTAATCTGACAATTGATTAGCAACTTTAATTGTTTGTAGGGGCACATAGGGGTTTTGTTTAACATATCCAATAGTGGATTTTATTTAAGTAGCAGCTGATTGGAAAAATTATTTCTTTGGGAGAATCAGTATAGGTACATATAGTTTATGGGTATTTATATTTTGTATTTATAATAGAAAATTCCATGCAAATGATTCAAATCATACTAAAAAGAACAAAACCATAGACACAACCTATAAAGACAATAGAGGGGTAGGCATACCGGGGAGAAGAATACAGAACAAAATACTGTTGTGTTGTGTATATATCCATAATGCTGCTTTGTCTTGAATGCTCTGCACAATTCTAGTTGCCAAGAAAACAGACTTGGGAAAGTTTCACAGAAGGGTAACAAGAAAGGTAGGGAACGGCTTTGTAGACAGAAGTCAGTCAGGAAGACTTCTAGCAATGCCTGAGGGATATTATATTTGGGTCTGTGAAGTTGTCTGCAGTATAGAGATGAACAAGAATTGATTTATCTTCTGGGTGGTTTCAGGCCAACTTGAGAACATATAATTTATACAAGCCCCACTTGTACATTCTTCCTTAAGCAAAATGCAGGATGCTTTGACTTAGAGGGGGTATTTGTTACACTCAGGATGACTTCTCTTTTGTTCTAACAGCTGAATGTTCTAGATACTCTAATTTTTCACTATTTTCATAACAACCCCATTTTCTGCATGGGCTCGTTGTGAATGAACATTGTTGATTTAGTAGACATAGGAAGAGAATCTATCACTTTGATGTTTTTTCAAGAATTTTAAGTTTTGCCACTGTGGTGTGACTCCTGGAACAGCACTACCTTACAGCTGGTTCAGACTGTTCAGAACACCCCTGTAGGAATAACATCATGGTAGCTATTAGCAGGAATGTTTGAAAAATACCATCATAATTGTAATTTCTGTTTACTTCTTGTGTGTTTGAAAAAAAAATATGCCTATGTGTATTTTATTACTTTAAAAATATAGTAATTAAAAAGGCAAATCACATATACTGATTTGTAGATTGTTAATCTCTGCAGCACCAGAGTAGTGCAATGGTTAAGTGTTGGTACAGAAATACAGTTCTATTTTGCACTTCCAGATTCTGCTCATTTCTGTCTTTGTCTTTCAAAGCACAAATTTTCATAACAACGTTTTTACTAATAAAACACAATCAATCAAATACAGTTTAGGCTGCAACCAATTTTTTTTTTCTCTTCTTTTGGGGTCAAAACCCAACAAGTGTTCTGTACTTGCAAAGATGTATTTGATGCTTGATAATTTTAAAATTCTGACTGTGAGGCTTTGACAACTGTATGAGATTTACATTTTCTCAGTAGTTAAAATTTGTATACATTGATGGTTTTTTACAGTGATCTTTTAGCAAGTGGGATGGAACTGCTGGATTTGACAGTACACCCACTGTGTTTTGTTAAGTTTAATTTATGCAGGCTTTAAAATGTTTGGTACAGTCTTTTAAATATTTTGTTCTAGAGAATAGTTAGTTGGATTAAGACATAATAAGAAACAATTCCAGCCATTTTTCTGTGACACCTGTTGTCTGAGATGTGCAGATCAATCTGTTGTCTTGGCTATGAATTTGTAATTTCTTACCAAATTTCTGGTCATCTTGGAAGCAATAAATTTAATTCAAGTTTTTCCTTCTTGGAATTGAAGCCTAATACAGCTGATGATGTAATGAGGAAGATATTTTATGTTTATAAAGATGATTTGTAAAAAAGAGAGCTAATTAGACTAAGTTAAATATCTTAGTGATGCGGTTAAAACTACATAGCAAATTATTTTTCTGAAACTAACATATTGTTTAAAATAGCTGTATTTTATTGATGATGACTTTGAAACTTTACTTTGGAAAAACCATGCATTGAAAATGTAGTTAAGTTTTTCAATACCTTGGAAGTTAAAGCTACCCTAACATTTTAAAAACAGTGCTAGAAACATTACCTGAGTGAGTACTGTAAGACATTTTCTGTTTTTAGTGCTATTAAGTAACATTTTTGAATAGCATTTTTACTATGAGTGATGTAAATGGCCTCTGAAATACACTGTTTTATTCTGTATAAGTCATTTGTCCCATTATGATAACTGTAATCTTTTTCTCTCCTTTTTTATTTTATTTTGCTGCTTGCCTTTTCTAGGAAGTAGAGGTTGGTATGCTTCTTCTGTCTTTTATGATACTGTTGAGCTTTTCATGGATTCCTTATATTTTACTAAATTTAGGTTGTTTCTCCCCCTCCAGGATGATTATTTTCGTACATGGAGTCCGGGTAAACCATTTGATCAAGGTAAGATTCTGCTCCTAGGTACTTGTGTGGGATAAAATTTAAGTAATTATATTTGTGCACTTGTTCTAGAATACTAGCAGAATTCTGTTAATTTGTGTGATTGTCTTCAAATAATTGATTTAAAGAGGACCTGAAATTCAGCCTAATCATCATTTTATGTCTGTGATTTTTTTCAAACATTTATTGATTAGAGAGAGGTGGGAGTGTTCGAAACCTCCAAAGTAGCTTAGTTACCCTTGGTAAAACATGAAGTTTGGCAGGTTTTGTTTTATTTGTATATTGAAGTTAAGAACTCAGGCGTTTTCAGTAGGACATCTGACAAAAAACAGGCATGCAGTCTAATACTTGTCTTTTGCAGTCAAGAAAAAAAACCTAAAGATTTTGAATGTCTCTTTATATCCATTGGATAAAAGATGATCTAGAAAAACAATTTTGGGAGTCTGTCATGCTCAAGTGATCTATCTTGAGGCAAAATGCAGCTGGAGCTTTGGGATTGCTACAGTACAGCAATTTTAGGCTGAGAATACTATGAGCAAATGCAGCAAACATTCCCATTACACATTCCCTCCCCAGGCACTGGAACTTAATATTTACTGTCAATATAATCCCCCTCATGTATTTTGTTGCAAAGTGTATTGCTGCCATTTTAAAACTGCTGAGGATATTGGTACTTTTTTAATTGCTTGAGAAATGATTTTAAGGATTCCCACAAAATGCTTCAGGGACTTTGTCTTGTCTGGTAGTACCAGTGGCATAAATGCAATGAAGAAACAGTGCAGGGGCTCATAGACAAGAGACCAAGATAAAAATGTGTTGTGAAGATAGTGTTTATTCAGTTTCAAGAACTTCCTCCACAATGGATACTTACTTGCTGTAATTAAAAAAAAAAATGTGGTTCAAGGAACTGGTAACTGTGCATATTTATAAAAACAATTAATGTCTTTCATATAAGCCTTGCAGTCCCTAAAGGGCTCTGTGTGAAAGCTGGTGAGAAGGGACATTTTACAAGGACATGTGATAGGAAAAGACGTAATAGCTTTAAGCAGGAAAAAGGTTTAAATTAGACACTAGGAAGAAATTCCTTACTATAAGATGGGATGAGGCACTGGAACAGGTTGCCCAGAGAGACTGTGGACTTCCCATCCCTGAAGGTGTTCAAGACCAGGCTGGATGGGGCTCTGAGTAACACGGTCTAGTGGAAGCTTCACTGCCAGCAGTGAACAGGGGCACTGGAACTAGATGATATTTAAGATCCCTTCCAAGATTAACTATTTCATGATTCTATGAATAGTGTTTTAATTCATTCTTCCTCATTTCAGCACATTTTGAAAGGCCTTCATATGTTAATGTGTTAAAGTATGTCGAAATTGCTCATGTAGACAGATCTGTGTAATTCTATTTGTGTTAATAAGAGCTTCAAGTACACTAGGAGGGTAACCCTTACTATGAAAATGTATAATGGTATTTATTCCTGGGCTGCAAAATCTATTTTTAAAGATAGAAAAATACTGTGATTTGCATTGCAGTCCACCAACACAATTTCTTAAAGCAACATCTGGCATTTGTTTGAAAAAGAGGACTTAGTCAAATTGAACTGTTGTTTGCTTCTATCTTTATAAGATAGAAAAAACATATTTAAATGTTCTGACTGTATATTTTATATGTGTGCATATATGTATACACCCCTAAATGTTTTTGTTTTTCTGTAAATACTGCAATTGTTAATAAACAGTTATGTGGGGCACATATTACTGTTGGAATAAATCTGAGTGTTCTGCTAACATATTTAGTTACTGCTAAAAGGCAGGTTTTGCTCTTTCAGTAGTTTTATAAAACAAGTAGAATGTTTTGTGTTTAGGACTAAAGTTAACTACTTTTAGTAGCTTTATCAACGTTTTATCAATGCTTACTCAAGTTAACCTCCCCATACACATACAGTATTTTCTGACACATTTTCTTCATGCACCACTTTTACATCAGATGAAAATATACAGAATACTTCTGGTACATTTTATTTTTAGACTACAGATGTTAGCAGAGCTTGGAGGGTGTAACTATTGAATGAAATTGCATACACAAAGACACTGGTGTAATTTGGTGAAGTGGAAAGGATGTTTTCCTTTGCTCAATGGAAGTACCTTGGAGGAAAAGTGGAGTATATTCATGTAATTGAAAAAATGCAGCATGACATTTGCTGTGGAGGTTGAATACCCTGAAGGTATGGTGGGTTCATAGATGTATTTATGAAATTTCTTGTAGACCATTCCACTGAATTATTTTTGGCTTTTGTAGTATCAGGTTATATTAGATGTCTGTTTACAGCAGAAATTTTGTAGATACTGTTATACAACAAAACCAGATTTTGAAACTATTCTACTTATATTAGTTTAATGTTTGCCTTTTAGCTCTGTGTATTTCATCCACCTAGTTCTGTAATAATTTGGGTAACTAAGGATATCCAAATATATGCAAACACATCTCTATAATTTGCAAATACATTTCTGTACTGTGAACTGAAATAATTTAGAGTCATATTCAAGAAAATAATTTGATTCACTCATTTGCAAGCCCTAGGAAGTCATAAGGGAGTTTAATGAAGATCCATTAGTTGAAGACTGAAAACAGTCGTGTAGAATTAACTTTGCTGCATTTGATATGTGCTCTCATGATCTAGATTTTGCAGTAGAACTATTGATGTTTTTAAACTAGAAATATACATCCATCACTTTCAAGATAAGCTGCAGGGTTTTGCAATTAAAATGTATCACATAGTACTTTAAAATGTTGTCTCAGATAAAGAAATAATGGTGTCTTTTTAAGAGGACACTGTGCATTTCAAAAAGAGCAGAACTGAAAAGCTTTTTAAAATATTTCATGCTTATTTACTAGTAAGACTAAGCTATATTTGATCTGGTGAACAGTTTCCAGTTTCAGGTGTTTAGGTATGTTTAGGAATTCTGCTCACTAATGAAGCACACTAAATCCTATGTTAACAGATTCCCACTGCTTTATGATACTAGCAGCTGGCCCTTGTCTGGAAAGATCTCTTGTAGATGTCCGAGGAACACTTTCATGGTGCTTTTTCTTAATTATCTGATGCTGTGTTTAGATGATTCTTTTATTAATTTTCTTTTATTATTTCTCTTTTATAAATTTATCTATTGTGGTAACATCACAAAAGTGCCTTGTTCTGCACAATTCACAGACTTGGCTCCTAGCTGAGGTTCACTGGATAATACACATCTGCTTCTCTGGTTACGGCTTGCAAATTGTTTCAGTATTTATTTCTGTGGGGTCATCAAATGGATTCTAAATTTTTTAGCTATTTTTAAAAGAGTCTGTAAAAAGGATTTTTATTGAGGCTACACTGAGCCCATAATAAGAGGTTTTGCTTGCCTTCAGTAGCAGTCTAAGCCTGTATTTCCTGCTGTCTTTTCATCTTTGCTTTATGCCCTGATGTTAGGTCTAGAGCCACCATATCAAGGATTATTGTAAGATAAAGTAAGAAGTGTTTTTTGTTTTTTTTTTTTTTTTTTTTTTTGGTTTTTTTTTTTTTTGTTTTGTTTTTTTTATTTTTTTTTTTGTTTGTTTGTTTTTTTGTTTTTAACACGGCCAAATCCGGGATGCAGGCGTCAGGAAAGTGGAAATGTGATGCAGGTGTCGGAAAAGTGGAGAAGTGATGGTGGCTGTCCAGAGGTACAACACCAGAGCTTCTCGAGCTGGCAGCGTGCTGAGAAAAGGGTGTATGGAACTGTTTCTTTGCAGTTACAAACCTGCTAAAATTTAGTCCTGCAAAACTCTCACTTTAGAAGTTCAGCTTCTCTCTACTGTGCTGGCATGTCCCAGATAATGGCCAAGTCCATGAGCATTGCATATCTAAAAATACTTTGGTGTGTACTGGGACTGCTTCTTCTTTACAGGCTCACTTAAAGGCCTTTGCTTATATTTGCTACTGAAATTTAATATGAAGGCATGTCAAGCAGCTAACAGAGGTAGGTATTAAGAAGATGAAATTTGGAAAAAACATTACAATTTAATGTTGAGGGAAAAAGAAATAGTTTAATAAATCCCTTTAAAAGAATTAAACAGTAAGCAAAGACTAAAGAAGAAAAAAGAGCTGTACATAGTTTTACTTGAATAGAAGAACAAAACCTGAAATACTAGAAGTTGCCTTTTTGACCTGTTTAACATCTTGCATTTAAAAACATCTTAATCTTTAAAATTACAAATGTAAAGAATGTTAAGAAGTACTCTTTACAGAATTTATTTTATGTGGAGGTTGTCATTCAATTTTACCACAATTTTTCAATTTTCTGGTCATTTTTGTCATTCCAGTCTTCTTCAAAATGCAGATATGTTTATATTTCTGATGTAATAGATACTTCATATGAATAGTCTACTGGATTCTGGTTTAGTTGGTTTAAAAAAATTTAAAAGCTGAAGTTGATTACAGTAAAATGAAATTGATTAAAATTCCCTATGTAACTTAAGAATACATAATGAAATACAAGAAATTAGAGTTCTCCAAGAGACAAAAATAGAGTCATTAAGGTTGGAAAAGACCTGTGAGTTCATCGAGTCTAACCTTTAAGCCAGCCCTTCCAAACCCACTGCTAAACCATGTTGCTGAGTGCCACATCTGCACATCTTTTAACCACATCCAGGGACAGTGCTACTTCCAATGCTTGGCAACCCTTTTTGAGGGGAAAAAACTTTTTCCTGCTATCCAATCTAAAATTTCCCTGGTGCAACTTGAGGCTGTTTCCTTTTTTGTCCTATCACTCATTAGCTGGGAGAAAAGACCAACTCCCACCTCAATGGACTCTCCTTTCATGGAGTTGGAAAGGGTGATAACGTCTCCCCTGAGCTTCCTTTTCTCCAGGCTAAACAACCCAGCTCCTTCCGATGTTTCTCATCAGATCAGTGATCCAGGCCTTTCCCCAGCTCTGTTGCCCTTCTCTGGACATGCTCTAGCACCTCAGTGTAGAGAGTGCCCAAAA